GTATTAAACACGTAGACCTGTGACACAAAAATCACCAAACTCGGATGACCACAGACTGTTTTCCTTCGTGTTGATGAAGGAAAACGCTGGGTTGGCATGTAAAAGGGCATTTATTCCCTTCAAGGACCTGCAGTTCAAAAAAAGCACCCCTCCGACAGCCAAACCCATCTGTTCTCTGATTGGATTGTTACATTTGTGATTGACATGACATTGACCAATCAGATGAAAGGAAGAAATATAGGGTCAAAATTTGTACTTGTAACTTGCAGTGTTTGTTTTGGCTAAGTACACACACAAATCTTTTTACACACACAAATCTTTTTTACACACATACAAATCTTTTTTACACACACAATGTTCCCTCTAATTTTTCATGTGTCTGAGCGACACACAAACTCCCTGAGCGGTCCCTTGGACCACTGTGAGCGACATCAGACGTGTGCACTGTGGTCACGCCAGCATCTAATCCATCCAAGTTACATGGTTTATTAAAATAATCAAATTACAGCATTTACATTTATGTTAGACTACTTTTAATTAACTGCTTTAGCCCACTTACAATGAAAATGTTCGAAAACACAACTTAATTTTTTTTTTTTTTTTATAAAGCTCTGACTTGTATTATGAGTCTGTGGTCTGTGAGAGAGTCCTGTAACTCTCTGTCTGCAAAATATAGTATATAATGACCAATGCTGGGCAATTAATTATATAGTTACTTCTTCAAAAAAGTAACTCAGTTTGGCAAACAACAAAGTTTTTTGCAGCTATTTTTTTAAATGCAGCCAAGGCAGTTTTTTAAATAAACATTTAAAACTATTTACAGAACAATCAGGTGTTCTGCATCAAATTTTATGCCACAGAAATTATTTGTGCCACTCCAAAAAATAATTTCTGTCCACTATAAGATAAAGGAGAACAACAGCCTGATACCTGCAGGCCTGACAACAGGAGATGTATCACTCCTGTAACACCTGTAACATTCAGCAGTCGCCTCATTGTTCTGACACGCACAACAAAATTACTGACTACACTACACACTAACTACACAAGATTTGCGCTAAACGTCGCAAATCTCTCACATCTCAAAGCACCGCCGTCACTCCTAAAACGTCCCCCGTTTCTTAACAACTAGATGCTACGTTGCCATATCATTTTTTGATTGGTCGACATGGTACTTTTTTGGACGAATAGGAAAGGGAGAGGCAGGTGGAGTTTGTTTTTGCTCACAGGCGGAGAGTGCTTTCAAGCCTTTTTTCTTATAAAACGCTGTTTTTACCGTTTCTTCCCGCAGTAAATATAAACAACGATAGTATTCAGCAAGGAAACCAAACATTGTAACTCTGGTTTTACATGGCCTATCAACACGATTTAAAAACTGGTATAAAGTCCACACTTTTTCCGTCAATTGTTCCATCTGTCCTGCTCACATCTCCAATGGTTGTACACGTTGTCATTAACATGGCTTCACTTCACATCAGGCACGCTGCTTTGCTAGCTAAAATACCGGTGTCGGCACATAAGGACGCTGTCATAGCCTGTCAACGACGTTGATTAGCTGCATATATACGAATGTAAATCACATTATTGGTTGGACTATGGGATAAGGTGGCATCGTTCTAATCCCTTACGGGAGCAGCCAGTCACTCACAGACTAACACTGCAAAACAGAATTGTTAAAGTATTAATTTTAATTTCAATTCAGGTTTGATTTTTTTTTTTGTGCGCAACGCAGATTTTCTGTGTGCCGAGACCGCGCCAGCAGTGCGCAATTGCGCACGTGCGCAGCTTAGAGGGAACATTGCACACAAATCTTTTTTACGCACACACAAATTCTTTTTACACATACAAATCCTGATTTACAAGTACAAAACTAATTTACAAGTACAAAATATTTATGACCACATTTTGAGCCCATACCTCAGACTCAAACACGACAAACCTTGTCTACCACCTACGCAAGAATCATGTGAAAAGGTATGGAGAGAGTTTATGGATGAGAAGCAAAAAAAGAGCCGTCAGGTGCTCAAAATAAGACTCAAATAGACTCAAACGTTAAAACAGGCTTTCCCCCACAGCACGCAGTGTAATAAATACTCACAAAGAAAATGGTGGCCGTTACAACTTATGTCAGTCAAAACTCTCGACTCCAGGTACATAACGCCCAGCTGAAAACACTTCATGCAAGTAGAGTTGCCCGAGAGTTACAGAATTTACAGAAAATGTAAAAATTTTTGTGATATATATTGTTGTTGGGAGGATAAATGTCTTATATCGCGATATGAGGTTTTGGTCATATCGCACAGCTCTAGTATTTCAAGAAAATTCTTAGAATAATTATATTTCTTGAAATATAGAAAAAAAAAGCTGATATATAAAAATTGTTTTATTGCTACTCTCAGCTTGCAGGCGGTGGCATTTTTAAGTGTAAGTAAATAAAGGGCAATTTCCATCCTTCTCTTCCAATGAGCTTGCCATTGTTAACACACTGCCTAATTTGAAGTGTGACTCTATTGCCACTTGGTGACAGCAGCAGTATTACAGCGCAGTAATAGAGACACAGCACAAGTCAAATGTAAGCTACAACGTAGCCTGGGTAGTGTTTTTAAGTAAAAGCATAAAAATAACTCCTTAACACTTACACTCAGCTGCTTAGAGCCCTGCTTTTCCACCATGTAGCGGCATCAGTAACTTCCATTTTCTGTTTGCTCTTCCTGTCATATGTAGTGCAACTAGCATGTGCTCAAGTGATGCTCTGGCGTCAGCTGTTTACATTGGGTCATACCTTCTGCTAGTATCTTCTCTTTTGTAGTCTGATTGTAGTCGATAGTGTGTCTATTGATTTTTGCTTCAAGTGGCAAAATACTAGGGGTGCAACGATACACAAAATTCACAGTTTTTTACTTTGGTGTCACGGTTCGATATTTTTTCGATACAAAAAAATGTTCATGCCTTGGGGATTAGTAAAGCGCTATACAACTGCAGGCCATTTAGGAGGATGTCGGCGTAAATGTGCAGTCATATTGGTTGTGTTCCCTCTAGTGCTGTCAGCGTTTATCTCGTTAAAATGACATTAACACCATAACGCCACAAATCTCTCTTAACAAGTTACCGCGGATCGCCCCATGTGTGGGGCTGGACTGCGTCAACACGTTAATGAGCAAACTGCGCTAACGCTCTAGTTCCCACCAATTGAGCATTGCGTGGCACATCCGACATACTGTTTTACTTTTGTCCATGACGCGCTTACCATCAGGGTCATACGTCACATGAAAACCAAGATGGTTCCAAACGCCAGATCTGAATGAGGGTGGGGGAGGTTCAATTTCGGGTAGCGTTGAGGAAGTTGCCATGTTGCAACGAGCTTAGCTTCTGTCTTGCTAGCTTGCGCTGCGCTCAGTGGATCTGCACTCGACAGTGCAGCCTAGGCGGAGTAGTCGAACGCAGATCCACTGAGCGCTCAACACAGACAGCATCATCAGAAGAAAAGTTGATAAAGTAAACAAAAAAATTTGTATTGTTCGATACATATGCGTACCGAACCCAAAGCACTGTATCGAATGGTTCAATATCGATAAGAGTATTGTTGCACCCCTACAAAATACATATGTTGTTTTCACAGAAACAGTTTTCTTGTGCTTTGTTGGAAGTTGTTGAAGAAACTCAATTTTCAGGTACGGAATTATGATCGGAGATTGACAAGCAGCTCTTCCTCTCAAATGTGCCTGGGCTAGTGTTGTTGTTATGCATAACGGAGACAATAAATTCATGATATTGCTATAGCAATATACAATATGGCATTCCTAGGTGTTATTATGGATGATGTAATATGGCACAGCCCTGAAGTTTGCAGGAATCCTGTGTGAAGTTGTCATTTGGAAGAGGCAAAGATGGCACTGTTGGTATAAATAGTGTTGTAAATAACTGACTCTAATCTGACAACCCTACGTGATATCTGCCTGTGGTACTTACGGTACATAAATACAGTTACCGCTGAGTTTTCAACATTTGGTATTCAAAGTTATCTGCTCTGGTGGCATCTCTATGCTCAACAAAGTCAAAATTAAATATATTGACACTAGGGATGTACCAATTTGATAACTCAGCCGGATATGTTCCAAAAGCTAGATTGGTGACAACAGGCTGATCTTTTCAGTTAACTGTTCAGTGTTTTACTACATCACACATCAGCAGCAGTGCACCAGCTGCTAGCTTGAGAGCAAATGTGGCATGGCGAAAGCTAACAGCAAAGGGTTGGCAGTTTGGCGTTTTCTGCACGTTTGTAGTTTTTGAGGTATCCGTAACTGGTGAAGTAGGTTGACACGACTAAAAAGCTCTCACAAAGATGATTTCCCTTTTGGCTTTTTCACATTTTTTTCCCCACACTTATTCCCAACTAGTCTAACACTTGGTGAGAAGCTTTTATCACCCTTCCAGTACCAAAGCATTGTAAGAATATAGGCTTATTACTGATCTAGTTGACAGTTAAAAAGTACCGCCAGACATACATCTTAAATTGCTGAAAAAGTTTTAATGTTTGCATAATACTCTCAATTCCTCCTTTGAGTTGTTCATCATTTCAGAAGCTGGCCTTGTGTAAAAGGCTCTTGAAAATGCACATACATAACGTGACACATTACACACTATTGATAAAAAACATTAATTAAAAATTAGCCACATATGAAGTTAAAATACAGAAAATCCTTTGTAGTTCCTTAGTTTCAGTGTAGATGTCAGCATCTTAATTGTGGGTGTTTGGTGGCAGCTTTTATGGAAGTGAAGTAAAAATTTGTTTTCATTGCTTATTTTTGCTCATAAGCAAATTTGTAAGCCAAAGAAAGCATTAACATGCTGCCAGGTCACTGACCTAAATATATCCATCAACCCTATATATATTTCATCACGTCCCTCAGTAACAGAGTTCCTTAGAGCCACACAGATAGCTAGTTTACTCGGAATATCCAGATTTAAGTTTTAAAGTAGCTTGGAAATGAGCATTTATTCCTTTGATTTCTCCACAGGAGTGTTTTTGAGTTGCTGCTTTTCTTTGACCAGAACGACTTCTGTCAGGGGCCACTGAAACACTTTACTCATACATTCCAGGTGAGAATAAAGAGCTTATTATCTTCCCAATAGAACAGTGAATGCATGTTTGTCAAATCTGATTATGTTCATTATCATTCATTTCACTGCATATGTTATTGTCAGGGCACTCCATCATTTGGGCTAGACCGTTGTTGCTGTACCTAAAAGTTATTTTGTGGTCCCATCTTTTATGTACTCTGTGGCACGATAGCACAATTAAGACACTTTTGTGTTTTTTCTGTATTCTCCTCCAGGAATGTTATTTGGCTCTTGCAAAGCACCAGAATGTTCACTTACTTCAGGTGGAGCGTTTGGTTCAGGGCGGCGGGCCTTGGGCCAACCCGACCGTACAGGCAATCCTCAGCGAGTCCAGTTTACCTCAGAATGACGGTCAGTGATGTAGTTATTATTTGTAGAAATGCTAGTACTGGAGTAACTGTAACACACCAGCTAACTTTAAATTTTAATCAGTTGTCTTTTAAAAATTAAAAGAAAAATTTATAATACCATACTTTGTTTTTTTTTAATTAATAATAATTTCTCATGTTCTGTCAGAAATCAACCATTTCATTTGCTGAATGGAGGAAAGTTAGGTTTCTGCTCCTCCAGAGGCCATTGTAAATTCTTAATGCTGTCTGCAGGTTATCTAACATAAAACTGTGTTATCACTGGTTGTTCTCGTACAAAGTAAAACTCTGTTCTGACTTGGCTTTCCTTCAGTGGATGGATACATCAGCTCTCAGCTGCCGGTGTTCTTTGAGCTTCGCGTGCGCTACCTTTTATCCTGTGAGCGTATTGCTGAAGCTATGGCCCTGGCTAAGTGTTGTGCTCGGCATCCCAACACAGGACAACACTTGTTCTTCCTCCAGGTCTACCTCACGTGGCTTTACAAAACTTCACAGCATGACTGTCTACATAAAGAGGTGGGTAGAGTGCAGTAATAAAATACTTTTTCCTTCCGTGTGATCTTACTCTGTGGACATGCTTGTATTATATACGTCTTTACTAAGGCTACGTCCACACGTACACGGGTATTTTTGAAAACGGAGATTTTCCGTTTTCGTTTTAAAAAATAATCCCGTCCACACGTAAAGGCAGAAATGAAGGAAAACGCTGCTAGGAACATGCCAAAGCAACAGGTGGCGATATATTCCTAACCGTGGCCAATCAGAAGTCTAAAAGCCTCGGTGGGAAAAAGTAAACAAAGCTGAGGCATAGAAGCAAAACAGAGTCGTATGTGTGGAGGGACAGTAACTGCGTGTGTATATGTAAGCATTTAAACACTGCAGAGAGTACAATTAACAGTAGCAGTATTGTAGAAATTCATTTCACCGAAGCAATAACGTGGCGCACAGTGTGACGTCAAAAAATGCGCACACCTTTGACGCTGCGTTTTCTCCGTTTTCTCCGTTTTTCTTGTCCACACGTAAATGCAAAAACTGAGTTTTCAAAAATATCCACCCTGGCCAGAGTTTTTTAAAATCTCAGTTTTCAGTGACCAATAACGCCGTTTACGTGTGGACGAAAGGTGGAAATGCATAGAAAAATCTGCGTTTTCAAAAATACCCGGGTACGTGTGGACATAGGCTAAGACTTGCCTGAACTAGGAGTCATTTTCCAATGTTTTTTAGGTTGCGGATCTTAATGGTAAAAATGCAGTGCACATCATCTGTAACTTGGAGTTTGAAGAAAAGGATGAGTTACTGTTAGCTCTCATCACAGCCTTTCTGTCCCAGCAGCTCTGGAGGGGAGATATGTACTATTTGTGGTAAGTAAACAGTATTATAAACGGATAACTTTTTCAAATTTATTCTAAGTGAGGGCTGTTCTACAAATATTACAGCAGGCGAGTTATTTTTAATGCAATGTTTACATCCCTACAGCTTATTATCAAGAACAGATTTTACTACTTTCTCCCCCCCCTTTGCAGTGATCTTGTGTTCTTGTGGACTAAACTTCATACTCGGTTGAACACATCCAAGCAAGTTCTTCTAGAGGAGACTCGCCAGCTGATGCTGTCTGCCACTAATGTCAACTCGATCTTCCCGTTCATCAGATCCATACTGCAAGAAGTTAGACCATATAATAACACATTAACTATAATAATATTATATATATATTCATGGAGATGAATATTTAACTCCTTTGTTTATATCTAATTAGGTCGGAGACAATGGTATCCAGTTTTGTGTGGAGCTCTGTGCTAATGCACTGAAGTCTTGTCTTCCCTGTGATACCCTCACGAAATCACTAATCTACAAAACCATTGCCGGCCTGCTACACAATGATCTGGAGGTATGCCGGGCGTGTGCTCTTCTCGTCTTCTTCTTGGAGCGCACTGTTGAGTCCTACAAGATGGTCTACCTTCTTTACATGCATCCTGATCAAGAGTACGACGCAGAGTACAGCTCTATTGGAAATAATGTTCGCTTTGAAACGCTACAGGTTGGGCATCTTTTTTTTGTGTTTATATATTAACAGACTGAAGTTTATTTTAAGAAAAGTAACGTCTTAGTAGTATAGACATTTCACTTGTGGAAAAAAAATATGATATTCCTGTATCTGATAAATTTGCACTATTCTGTCTTTTCTTCCTACTGTATGGATTTCTATTTATTGTCATAAAAGCTAGCTATGAGAAGAAACCCTTGTCTTCCAGTAGTTGAATGGCTTGCAAATAGCTAAGTGTCTACAAGTCTACAAAGTTCTAAATCACAATGTCACATGTAGTAATTAGAAAAGTATCCATGTATGTAGAAATGGTGCTAAAAGACTTCATACTTCTGTTTTCTTCTCAGGTCTTGAAGAAGGATCTGTATTTTGATCCAGAGTTTTGGAACCTCATTGCTTTGAGGACCAACTGTTTGAAGCTGATGAATGAGAAAGTGGTTAGTGCTGCTCTTGAAGAAATCATGGAGGACAAATGGATTTCAAACTACTGCACCAAAGACTCTGATTTCCGATCAAGTGTGTTGGCATGTCAGAAAGGAAGTAAAAGTGTACTTCAGGCAGAAGCTAAAAAGCGGCATCATAAAGAGGATACAAATGCTGCATCAAAAAGACTAAGGATGGGCACAGGAAAAACACCAGTAAATGTTGATCACAGTGCAAAGAAGAAGGGCAACCAGGGGTCAAGACCTTTGAAGGAAAGATCTGCTGAACCTTTGAGGCGCTCATTTTGGCAGCTAGACAGAATACGGGACAGTGTAGGCCAAGCATACGAACAACATAGACGCATTACACGGTTGTCTGAAAAGAATCTCCCAAAACGGAGAATTAGAAAACCAAAGTGGCTCCTAGAAGACTCGGGAACTCTTGAAGAGAACGTTCCCCTGAAGGTCAAAAGACATGGGTTGAAACATGACAAGCACCATCGATCATCTCTCAGATCAGAAACGGGTCGTATCAGGAACCATGCCAAACACAAATCTTCAGTGAACCCTCAGTTAAATGAAAGTGAAGACATTAAATACCAGAAAGGGTTTTCTTTGGATTGTTCTAAACCAGATTCTCCTCCACAAGTAATTCTGGAACTTTCGCTACCAGACAATGAACTTGTGGGTGCGTTTAATGAAGATGTTTGCAACCGAAAGAGAGGGTTCCCACAAGTGCTTCTTTACAAACCTACTGTGAAGCTTCCTGCAACATCACCACCCGTCAAGACTGTGCATCGTAACAAGGTGATTCTCAGAGCACGGGATCCATCCATATTTGTCCAGCAGTTGCATTGTTATGCAAGACGGCAAAAAGGAAAAGGAAATGGGCTGAATATTCAAAGCTCAGTATCCACAATCACACGGTCATCTGTGCACGGTAGCCCTCCAAAAGATCCGCTTTGTGGAGAACCTGCCACTGAAACAAAGGATACAATTGGCTTTCCAGCAGCAGCAGTTAAACATAGCGGATCCTCAGTTGGAGAAATTCAGACTTCTGTCTCAGGAAAGATATCTTTAGTAAGAGAGCTCTCTGAGAAGTCAGCTTCTGAAATGGGAGATACCACAGCGTCTTCAGCAGCAACAGAAATTCCACATTTAGATGAAATCTGCGAAGGTTCCACCATTGCTTCAGCAGAAGAGGCCTGTGAAGAGCCCACTGTTGAAATGAAAGTTACTATTGCCTCGAAATCCACGGTTTTAGGCAAAGCTCCAACAGCAAAAGATTTCTCAAAAACTGAAGTTTCTCAGACTTTAACATCAGGGAAAAAGAAAGTTACTGACAAAGTCCGCCCAGTTTCCAATAAAGGGATTGCTTCCAAGTCTAGGAATGCTGATCGTGCACAGTCACAGTGTCAAGATAGAGAACAAGAACTTAACTCTTTCCAGACTGAGAGTGAAGAAGGCAAAAGCGATGTTTCTGCGATAGATCTCACAACGGTTTCACCTAAAGATTCAAGAGGACATGTGCCTTGTAAAAGTGACTCAAGTCGGGGAAGAAATGAAGCCGCTCTATGGAAGTTAACCAAAATTGAGGCTTCACGTACAGACCATGACAGTATAAGTGACATATCTTCGCTAACACTAGTAACAGAGATGGTGACTGATCTTCCCCCTGGGCACCTTACTCAAGACCTGGAGAATGACAAAGAGCGAACTCCAACCAATAGTGCCTCCAAAGACTCTAGAGTTGGAAGTAAACCTAACAATCCTCAAAATATACGGACTACCTCCAGCTGCTCTTTACAAGAACAGAAGGCCTTGGAAGTTGATGGGACAACTCAGGATGGCAGTTTAGATACATGGGAGAACAGCGAACTTATGGAAACGCCACAAGAATCGGAGGAATCAAAGTTAGAGTACTGTTGTACCTTCTGCAAAAAGGATTTCAAGGGAACTCGTGTTGTGGCACATGCAATGTTCCATTATCGTAAAGATGAGTGCATGTTCTGTGGGAAAGTGTTCACAGATGACCTCCTGGCCATGATGCACCTGTCTGATCATATAGAGAAGCTAAAGAGGATTAAAGCCGAAGAAAATGGGGTGCCTGACACCAAAGATGTCTCAACACCTAAACCCAAAGCTAAGATGGCAAACACATCTTCTGGGAGTCAGAGTAAGGGGAGACCAAGGAAATCAACTGCCTGTCCTACATCAGTAAGCCCACCACCTGAAAGCAGAAAATTAAGATCCAATGAAAAGCCTGTGGATGGTTCATCTTCACAAGAGAAACATAACACGTCTAAGCACCTTAATAGTAAAAGTCCTGTTCACAAAGTAAATGGGCATATCGACAAAAAGAAGGAATTTAACAGACAGAAAAAGGATGTGGAAGCTAAGCAGATACAAGGAAAGCAAAGAGCAAATATAGGCTCTTCTGCAGCAAACAAAGAGTTGGCCTGTTCCACAGAAGATAAATTGAAGGTGAAAGCTACAAAACAAATTTGGAAAGTTGTTACAGAAAAAAATACAGAGCCACAAGAGAAAATTAGCTGTCCCGCAGATGGATGCTCTTTTTTTACTGACATTTCAAAGAACCGTGTTGCACTTCTATACCATGTACTCGATGATCACTACGGTGAGCTGAAACCTTTAGAACTGGCGTTCCGTGTCGGAAACAATAAATGTAGTATTTGCATGAGGGTTTTATGGAGTTTCGAACATTTTCAACATCATGTTGAAAGACACAGATGGAGTCCAAGGCATCCTTGCCTTCATCAGGGTTGTACTGCCAGGTTCAAAAGCGGAATGGAAATGAGACGCCATGCCAGGAAGCACAGTCCACTGCAGGCAGTGTGCTGCCTCCCTGGATGCTCTCATTTATTTATTTGTCTTTGGGCACTGAACCTTCATGAAAGAGAACACTATGCTTCAAAATTTACTAATTCAGACAAAAACACAAATGCACAAACAGGCGACAAACTTGATGATGCATCAGCTGGGAGGCGGCAGCAGAGTTTGCCAGATAGTCTCACCGCTGCAAAGAAGACAGAGAGTGTGAAGACTGCACTAAAGTTACGAGAACAGGCAAGTCAAGAGTTGTTGGTAAGAATACAAGATAAAGCTGCTCCTCTCTCCATCAGCAGATCATCTTTGATAAAACAGAAGTTGAAAAAGAAAAACGAGAGCAAGAATTCAAATGTATTGAAGAGTCTTTCCAACAAGGAAACCTCTGCACAGCCTACTGATTCAAGTAATAGATTAAGGCATAATTTGAGAAAAGGGCAAGTAACAAGTACAACCCTGATGGCTCCCAAAATTCACAAAGTTATCTCATCATCATTGTTAAAACACAGCAGCAAAGTGAGGCATAACCCGAAGAAGAAAAAACAAATCAAAGTAAACACAAAAGGTCCTAAAAAAAGAGGTCGACCACCCAAGTTAAATAATGCAATGGATGATGAAAAGATTAACGCTGGTCAAAAGGGTGAAATGGTGAAAGAAAAAACTGCTCTGGCCAAGGCTCAGAAGAGCCCTGCCCAGCTTCGAGAGAAAGCTGTCAGTGCAATGGAGAGTAACAAGCTAAAGAAAGAGAAAAGTCAGCAGGTCCAAGATGGAGGCGAACGTAGAGCCATGTCAACCAGCAAATTGAAGAAATTGGTGGGCAAGGAGATCAGAAGGAATCATGTCCAACTAAAGTCTTCATCATTTAACAGTTCAAAACCATCAGGCATCACCAACTCTGGAATTAAAAAATACAGGTCACTAAGAAGATGGGTTAAAATTAAAAATCATTCTGCACCTTCAGATCTCAAGAAGGCAAAGAAGATTGCAAACAGTAACAACAATGAGACTTTGAAGAAAAACCCAAAACCTGCCTTAAAAAGCCATGCCACATCCAGATCGGCTGTCCCACAAGTTGAGGCCAAAGGACCCGCAGTAAAAGGTTTTGCTGATGATGAAGTAAAAGTAAAGGTGGAAAACAAAGACTTGACTAAAAAGGTTACTAGTGACTCAGAGCTTTCTGTCCCAGCTCCCTGCTTAAACGTACCTCCCACCACTGAGAAGGCACATAAGTTAAAAACAGAGGAAAAATCAAAGAAATCACTTGTTATAAAAGAAGACAAAAAAACAAGGACTGCTTCCTCAGACTCGAACAAGGAAAAGAAGCACAAGATGGTAAATGATGAAGTCAACACGGAGACTGTCAGGAGGGATTCCCAGACTAGAGAACCAGCCTTAATACAAATTGTTGAGTCTACATCGGAAGTCCATCAGGTTGAGGCCAGAGCAGCAGAAGGTTCTGCTGATGAGGGAAAGGTGAAGGTGAAAAACAAAGATGTGACACACAATGGCTCCTGTGACTCTGTGCCAGCTAACGGCTCAGGTGTTCAACCCACACCACAGAAAGTGCAGAAACTAAAAAGGGAGAAAAGGTCAAAGAAATCAATAGCAACAAAAGAAGGGAAGGCTACTCGAACTGCTTCTTCACACTCAGGCAATGTAAATAAGAAGCACAAAAATATTAACAAAAGAGGGACCAAAAAGTCTGTCAAAGCAGATCGCAGCAAAATGTCTAAAGAGAAAAAGACGGCAAAGTCAAAATGCATTCAGCAAAAGGGCGACTCGGCAGAATCTGCTCCTGTTGACGAGGAGGGAAAAGGAAAGCAAGAAGACTTAGTTGCACCATTAGACAGCTCAGTTTCCTCCACACCTGCTGCTACTTCTGACATCCTAAATGAAAAGACTTGTCTGCCTGCTGCGGCTGAAGGAAGCATGCCGAAGGTAACAAATAAGGAAAAATCCCAGAGAAAGAAAGCCCTAGACCCCAGTAAAGCAGATAAGAAGCGAAAGCGTGTTCAGAAAGATGATGCAAAGACAGTGAAGAAACATTGCAAAGACAATGCGGCTCTGTCAGCATCTAAGAAGCCTGCAAAGTCTAAATCTGAAGTGCAACCGCTCGCTGAGGCCAAAGCGATCGCTGATGGGAGCCCAGTGGGTGATGGAGAGAAACCTTCTGCAGAAACGGCACAGGCTACAAATACTGGACCTGGATACTCTGTGATAACAAATGGACAGATGTCAGGTGACGCTGAAGACACGAAGGCCTCGGTGTGCAAGGACACTCTTGCAGAGTACAGCAAAAAGCCGTACATGCGTCTGCCGCCTACAGCATACCTGGATGAGAAGTACATCACCATGCCAAAACGAAGGAAGGATGCATCTTCTGTCCTGGCGTCTCAGATGAGCAACGATTTAGAACAGGTCTGTTTGACATCAGCCATGCAGAGACAACGATGTGCCAACTGTTTCGCCACGTTCAACAGTGTCGAGGAACTGCAGAGTCATCGCCAGCTGCAGAAATGCTCAGACCTCTTTGGATTTGACTCCGATGACGAGGGTGAGTAAGCTGTCTTGGCTACTGATGGAAATCATACTCTTAAGTTTCTATGCAATACATAGTGGTCCAAATCAGTAAAAAATGGTAAAAGAGAAACATGCTTTTCAGTGCAGTGCAGAGGTTTACAAACAGTCTGTGCACAGTCATAACAGTCAGCTGCACATACAGACAAGTGTTTAAAGAGTAGAACAAATGAGTTTGTCTATCTAAATGGTATAATTGTCAAGAGGTGCTGATAGTGTTCTAATAATGTTTCTTGTGTTTTATTGATGCCAGAAGTTCAAATATGTGAATTTATTTATATATATATATAATGTGTGTGTGTGTGTGTGTGTGTGTGTGTGTGTGTGTGTGTGTGTGAGAAATGTGTCTACCCTATAGCACAAATTAGGGGTCCATTTCACTTTAGCAGAG